ACTGAAGTATTTTTTTACAATTGAAATGCCAAAGGTCTTCTACGTCAACTAGATGAATTTAAAGATTTATTATGTAGTAAGTTACTGATTGTGTTACAGAAACACATTTAAGACATTCCAAAAACAGTAATATTACAAATTATAAAATACATAGAGAAGATAGAACGCCTGTCACAACTGGAGGAGACGTGGTAACTTTTATACTTTGAAAAATCAAACGTTTACAAATATATATTCCTAACTCTTCTGATCTAGAATAAGAAGCTCTCACTGTTTTTTTCTTGTGTCCTATAAATATAATAGCAGAGTACGAACCTCCTAACAAAAAATATCTAAATTGACACTTGAATTACTATTAAACAATAATACAATAACACTTATACTCGGTAATTTAAATGCCAACACCAATCGGAATGTAATACTACTTCTCCACAATGTCAATTCTTATATAATTAAACTACTCCAAATAATTGATCAATTTATGCTCCTTCTCAGCCAACTTATTATCCATATAATACTAAGATTGCTTTCTGATATTATTGATATAGTTCTTTCCCGAAATATAAGTTTCCCGATTAAGCAATATTGTATTCATGATTCAAACTCTAATCAGAATCCATTTCTAATAACTTTTCATTAAATTGCAGCATTACATCAATATAATAATCTGTCATAAAAGTAAGAATTAACTGGACTATATTTCATTCTTCACAAAATATCCCTCCTCATTACTTATTTCTTCTGACATTCATAATTAAATCCTAATTGTCATAAACAATGTCAAAAGGCACATTCATGTCCTTCCAAAAAACTTTTAAAATTTCTTTAAAAAAGTCCAAAAAGTCTTTTAAAATTTTGCCTAAAGAAATACTAAATTTAATAATTCTTAAATACATTCTCATCGCAAATGGGAATTTACACGTGTTCCCACAAAGAAGGAATCACTAAGTTTAATAACCCATACCGTTAAAAAAAATTAAATAAATAAATAAAAAATATAAACCTACGAGAACATCGATATACTAACTTAAATAACTATTTATCCCGAATCCATCCGAATTGTTCATCACATATTCGGTCTGATATTCGAATTATAACAAAAGACAAACGTCAAATAACCACTTTAAGCGATTCCAATAAAACTGCTGTTTCAAATTCAGAAAAAGAGGAACCTTTTGCATTAATTTGAATTAATATTCATTCAAAACATAACAAAAAAATCTTCAAAGTTAAATTTGCACTGTTCCGGAGCGTATCAAATTTGTATCTCCGGCAGAAATTAAATTTATTATAGAAAAACTCAAAAATAATTAATTTCCAGGTTTTCATAGACCTCCAAATTTAGTATTTAAACATTTCCCAAATTCCACGATTAGTTCAATATCAGTAATATATAATGCTTCTCTTAGACTCAATTACTATCCTTCAATTTGGAAAATAGCAATCATAATACCCATTTCTAAACCACAAAAAGTTTCATGGTAGGCCAGAAAATTTTAGTTCAATTTGCTTATTATCCGAATTTCCAAAATTTTTTATAAAACAATTTTAACAAGAGCCATTAAATTCATCAACCAACCTAATTTACTTCCAAATTCTCGTTTTTAAATGGCAGCATGGCATGAAGGTTTACTTTATAAACTTAGAATATTCGAATTTCCTATATAGTTACAGCGTGTTACAGCGTAAATTTCAAGTTCAACTTAACAATTTTTTTTCTACTAAATACAATATCCACGCTGGAGTACCTCAGGGTTCTCACTACCACCTATTCTTTTTAATATTTATATTCCAGGTATTCCACATTTAATTAATCCACAAATAGCCTTCTCTCCCGATGTCCCAGAGCCGAAATTCCCGAACTAACAATTTTGCGACAATTTACAATTTTATAAACAAATTCGAAATATACCCATGAACGGCAAGAAAAAAACCGTAAATTGTGCCTGAGATGAACATTTTAATATAACAGTTTGACAAAGTTACAAATTGATTGCTAAACGTTAGTATAATTGTTGCTAAAATGCTATATATTTACTGGTCTATTGACAGTAATTCTGGACCGAAAACCCCCGCTCAGAAAATTTTTTTCGTTATAGCGTACGCCCTGGAAAACTTGTCCTTCGGCAGGGAAAGGACGATATTTTTGCCTCATACGTAAACAATCGGTGCCCCCGCCCCCAGGAACGTCTTCCCGCCCCAAGGGATTTTGCGCTAATCACGTAGGCACTACGTTTGTGACTGTAGCGATTGGTCAACGCACCCCTCTCCCTGATCGAAGGGTGTCCAAGTTCATCTGGACGGTTGGAAAGAAGCCCCGCCAGTTATTGTGCGCGAAGCTTTACATAAAAGCTTGGTACGTGCTGCAATCGTGAATCCCAAGATTTAATCTCCATGACTATCTCTTGTAGTAAATTGTATTCGTTGTAAAGATTAGATATGGTAGTGTTTTCTCAAGATCTAATGTAATTACGTGAATTCCTTTCTCTTCAGATTTCTGTATCTCACTTCTCTTAGCGGATATTGTTTGATCAACTTTTCTGAGATGAGGCTCTTTCTCCAAAATCAGTCTCTTTTCTTGAGAAGTGTCAACTTCCGCTTTGATCAAGTTCTGTAACGTGTCGCGCGTATTGCAGGCGTCACTCCTCAATTTATGAATTGAGAAAATGTGTTCTGAATTGAACACGTTACGGTAAATGCAGGGCTTTTGAGGTACAATGTTTTCTTCTTTACATTTTTCAGCGTAAAGTTTGTAGTACATTTTTGAGACGGATATCTCGGGTGAGAGATATTTCCTGTGAGGATTGTGCAGACGAGAGTAGTGGTTGGCATAAGTAGGAAAACTATTTATATGGTTTCGGATAGTAGTAATGTGTTCTTCTGAAATTTTATTTCCAGGAGCGTGTTTGGCACGCTTATCAATTGTAGATAAGCTTTTCACCACTTGCATATTTAATACAGCCGTGGTAAATCAGCAATTTATTATACTTAAAGTTTTTAGAAAAATGTTTTACACACTCGCTTTTCATCAAGATACATAGCAGTGCTGAGTCTCTTTGATTTCTTACAATTTTGTTTCTGGCATCTTCGTTTGCTAGTTGAAACACATTTTAATATAAGTTTGAAGCTGTCAGGAACTGCATTTCCAATATTCTGCAATATGAATGCAAAAACATTTCCGACAGGTATGCTGGAATGGTTGGATAATTTTTGCAGGCACTATTTTTCCGGTTACTGATGCGTACTCTTTTCCCAAATTTCTCAGAGCCTTCCTTTTATTTGCCATCCATGACTCCTCATTGAATTGAATTGAATTTGCCTTATTTTACGTGGCGAGACTCGGGCCATCAGGCCCGCTCGTCCGTCTGACCACGCAAATTTCGATACGCTCCTTTCACCAACTAGGAGAGAAAGGAGGTATTTCTTGGGCCCGACAACAGGCGATGAATTTAGCTCAGAGGCGTCATTTAGGTTGAGGATCGTTTACGATGCAAGTAATCGTTACAAAACAGGACACCGGCTTTACTTTCCCTCCGAAGGAAGGGGCGTACGAGGATTTTTTCGCCTAAAATCACGCAAACTTGGCTACAACAGTCCGGTACGCTAACCGTTACACCATCGCCGCCCGCCTTTATATATATTTATAATTATATTAGTTTATATATATATATATATAATATTTATCTCATTTCGCTGTCTTTTTCTTTCAACATTCTTTTCTGGGCTTGCTGCAGATAGTGATCTGTTATTTTGTTCATTTGTTGTTTGCATTTCATCGTGGCCGGGAGTTGGGTGCTCAAAAGTGAATGAAATTGTTTCAACATATTAATCACCCAAACATGAATCTAGAATAGAAAAATAATCTCGCAGAAACATAAAATTACGGGGAAACCGATGTCAGGTGATTATTGTTTAAATTTTTTAAGGTTATCATAAGCAATAATAATCTAAAATTTTTCTATCTTTTTTGTACAGCTCATTTAATTAGCTGGTCTGTACAAGTTATTAGTATAATGGTACTAGTGTATTTCACACACTTAACGCATGTTAAATACTTCAGTGACATAGTGGTATACTATTAGTTTCGTAGTCGATTTCGTAAATTGTGCATTTTTTTGTGGGAAATATTAGAAAGTTAATATTATTGTAACATTAAGTGTGCTGATTGCATAAAAAGTTCTGTCCAAGGTTTTCAAGCGAAGCACGGGACACTAAAACTGTGAAAACGTCCTCCCTGGTATTGCATACTAGTTTCATAATTCTCTATCCTTGCTCAAGAACATAATATTTATCATCAACAGAATCATCTGCTAATACATCTTCATCAGACGCTTCAGAACTATAATAAATTCTTTTACAGACATAAAATATTAAGAACACTTTGCTTCTTTGAATACGAGTAGAAAGCAGGGTCGGATTGTCAGACATGCTACCACTAGAACCGTTGTGGCAGTACCTTTGCAAAGATATTAAATTCGCTTGTCATTACATACCAGCGGATACGAGTACCATTTTTTAAATCAATTTCTTGAAAAATGTCACTCGTACCGTTCTGGTCTTGACCCATGCATATGTGTGTATAAATCTGTGTGTGTGTGTGTTTATAGTGCTTGATTTATAAAATTGTAGGTGCCGGTACGCGCCCGAAATTAATCATTAATTTTATATATTTATAATTCCATTTAATAACATATTCCCAAGGTATTCGAATGCTGTTCCGTCGCGTTCCGATAGAAATCAAGTCCTGAACATACAGTGTTCGGGTGGAAATTTGCGTTGCAGAAGCATAGAAACATTCCAGAAACACGTAAATTATTTACTATTTACAAAGTAAATTAATATATTTGTTCAGAAATAAAATCATACCCACAAACAAAAAGTAGTAGAATTGTGTAAATTGGGTGCTTTTTTGTGTGTTAATTTTGAGAGGGAGAGGTAGTGGGAGAGGAGGAGAGAGAATCTCTACGATTACTTTCATACCTACTGTGTTTTTGTCTGCAGATGTTGATGGGAAAGAAGACTCGGGAAGCCTAGACAGTTCGGACCAGCCGAAGTTTCGGCGCAACCGCACCACGTTTAGCCCAGATCAACTGGAAGAGCTTGAGAAGGAGTTTGAGAAGAGTCACTACCCATGTGTGAGCACGCGCGAGCGCCTGGCCTCCAAGACGAGCCTCTCGGAGGCAAGGGTGCAGGTGAGGCCCCACACGCGGTAACCACTTGAAATTCTTCAGTACTTGGCAATTGATATTACAATTCTTAAAGAATCCAAGAATAATTTAAATGTTGATAATTGAAGAGGAAGGGAGGATTAGTGATCTGCAGCTTTCAAATCAAAGAAATGGAAATTTTCTGTATACAGTTTTAATAATGTTATGAATAAATCATATTTGTTAATATCCGGAATTTTCAATATTTTCAATATTTTTCAAATGGAGATTTTGGCAAGTGTGTCATGTCTGTAAAAGTTAGATAACATTTTCAATACTGTTTAATTTACACAAGATGTGTAAGGTCAATCGTAATTGAAATAAAGAAAAATAATCTTGAAACATTTTGTAGTTTTTTATATTTTTGTACTTGAAACATTTCTTTAACGCACAGAAAAGAAATTGATTATTATATTCCATTTAGAATAGGTTTTTCGTGTATAAATTTGAAAAATGAATCAATAAGTAACAATATGATTTCCTAGAAAATTTACAGCCGAACTAATGTTTTGAATATTACTTCAAGTGTAGCATCGTATTGCGAGATCATTTAAAATTGTTCGTGGCGGAGCCCCGAAAGTGCATGAGCACAGTGACAAACCATTATCTTCCTTCTGGGAAACTTGCGCTAATCGCGGCCCGAGAAGCAAAAAGCGCGAGAGGTAGGCGGCGGTCGGCGGTCGGCGGTCGGCGGTCGGCGGGCAGGGGTGTGGGAAGCGGCGCGGGGCGGGGGCGCGGGGCGGAAGCCGTGCGTGCGCGCCGGGAGCGAGCGTGCCTCTCGTGGGAGGGGCGATGGCAGGACGGCGGCGACGGCAGGCGCTCGCCTCCACAAGGACGAAGCCAGGTCGCAGAGAAGGCGGTGGCGGCGGCAGAGGCGGTGGCGGAAGTGGCGCAGGCCGCTCGCTGCCCGCCGCAAGGCCCTGCGTGACGACGGTGTTGCGGGCGTTTTAATCATGTCTGCGGATTATTGATTGCGAGTGCCAGCATGGTTTCTCATGTGCCCTCACAACACGCGTGACATGTGTTGTGCACAATCTCGTGGGCTTCTTTTTTCAAAAATAATTTGTGCTCGTATTTTACGACGAAAGCATCTTCGCGTTCTCTTTTTATTGGTGACTACTTACACGTACATATTTCTGCTATCTAATTCTGACGGAGGCGCACCGCTGAAGGGTTTGGGGGGACTTATGAATTTCGAGTAAGTGTGTGTGTATGGGGGGGGGGGTCTTCACATTACATATATTTACAACTACTATACTTTTAAATCTTGAAATATGAAAATATTTAATTATTTATTTACTTATTTAAATTATTTCGGGTGGCGAGAAGCTTAGTATTTGAGTTAAATGAAATAATTTGGTTTAATGGAATCCTAAGGTTAAAATTCATTAAGAAAACATCAAATTCGACGCCAGTAAAAGGACTTACGGAAATTTGTAAGAAATAGTAACAGAAACTAAAAAAGTGTTCAGAAGAATAAATCTGCAGCACGTTCCGCTGGGAAAATTTCGCTGTGCCACTTGATATTGAGGATTTGTATCCAAAACATTTCAGTACATTATCGAATGTTCAAGTAGTACCTTTTACAACACTTAATGTTTTTTGGATCGCATGATTTTTAAACTAACAAACTGTGTTTACTTTCTTGGATCTTAAATACATCAATAATTATAATATATTATTATAATATATTATTATTCAACACTGATTTGTAATTAATATTTTTTTACATGTTTTGTTTACACAAAGATGGTTGTATATTATTAGTTGCAACAAACGAGTACTTCCATTCGGTTCACAATTAAATTAACAATACCCCTTTTGAGTTATATAGAAATTTGTGTAGTTATTCGTCAACGGTAAATGATGTTCATTCATTAATATTACATGACTTTCTTCTAATACAATTATAATAAAAGTAAATAAATAAATAAATAAATAAATAAATAAATAAATAAATAAATAAATAAATAAATAAATAAATAGTAAAACAATACAGTCAAACCTCGATATCTGAACGCCATCGGAAAATAATTAATTCTTCGTCTTATTAAAATTTTGAGTTGTTAAAATGATATTTAAAAAAATCAGAATGGGTTTTGAAATCCGAATTCAAATTACACTACCCATCAACCATCATAATTAAATACTAACCCATTCAGACATACTATTATTTAATTCATTATTATTTATTGTCATATATGATCAACAAATTCGCAGACGTTCGCATTATGGTGTTTTGCCCAACATTCTCTCTGCTGAATGGAGTGTTTTTACCCAAGCTTATCTTGCTGCACTTGGAAGTCCCCCCCCCCCAATACCCTACCCGGGTATGTCAAGGAACGCCATGCGTTGGGCTTCAAGTGACGTGCGTTCGTTGGCAAATGAGTGTGTTGATCGTGTCATTTCCCGTCACGCGTCCAACGCCTCGCCACGTTCATCGACGGGAGTGGGCTGAGCGCCGGAAAATGAGAAGGTAAAATGCCCAGGCGAGTAATGACAGTTTCTTCAGAGCGAGAACATTAATGATTAACAAAGTTTTATAACATTTGGTGGAGTCACGCCCTTCACAAGTACTCAGTCATACTTTTTTCTTATCATATTTTTCTTCTGTAGAATAGAATCCTCTATCTTCAGTTATGGGGACGTTCATGATATCAAATTTTGAGTTAACAAGAATGTATTCCATTGTAATGCTGTATTCTCCGGAGACGAAAAAATCCTTCGCGGTATCAAAAATTCATGTTAGAGTCGTTCATATTATCGATATTTGACTGTATAACATTGATTAAATACTATTTATTCTCTTGAAGGACAAGTCTTGATGGCAGTAAAGCAGTAAATCCTGTGTTAAAGTTGTTTATTTATGTGATGTTTGAAAAGTTGTTTCCACTCGTATTAACGCTTTTCACATAACAATTAATCCAATACTTTAAGGCAAAAAGAATTTAATGTGCAAATTGGTGATGTTACATAATTAGTTTTGTAAGATTTTCTCACATAATTAGATAATGAAATGTTTTATTTTACTTTCCCATTGACTCGTAGGTTTGGTTTTCCAACAGACGAGCCAAGTGGAGACGTCATCAGAGGATGAGTCTCCTAAAACATTCTTCTCCATCTTCCCCTTCACCACATCCCTCTCCTCAGCACCCCACACCTCCGTGCTCCCGGCCGCCAGCTCCGGCCTCGCAGCCTCCGCCAGCGGCCGCACCAGTGGCGTCCGCGGGGGCGGCGGCGGGGGCGGCACCGGGCGCGGCGGCGAGCACGCACCTTCCCTCTGCGTTCGGCGGCCGTGGCTCACCGCGCACGGGGGACGCTTCGCCCCCTGGCTCGCCAGCGCAAGCCTCGCACCCTACTACGCAACCGCCGCGGCAACAGCAACTGCAGATGGGCGGCAAAAATAGCGCCTTCAAGGCTCTCAATCGCCGCGCGTTCTCAAACGTCTCTGCCCCCGGCGCTACTGAAGCCACTGGCGCACTCACCTCGGCATACGGCTACGCGTCCAACGCCTCCTCCGATTCCGAGGAAATCAACGTGAACGACCATTCCGAAGACGAAGACCCCGATCGAGAGAGTGCCCGGCGTCACCGCTTCTCCAAAGCGATGCCACCCTACGACAACCCCGTTAACGGCGACGACATCAGCAAGGAACGTGCCGCGGAACCCGATGCGTGGGAAGTTAGCCAGCCGCTGCCACTCACCAAATATGACCGCGAGCGCATGTAGGGGTGGCTGCTTGCTTTTGGCTTCTCCTGGCGCTGCTCCTGTGTGCTGCTCTGCATTCCTCCGCGATCTGTCCCGTTCTGTGCGTCCCGAGCATACTCCGCCACACTCCGCCGTACTTACGTCCCTTACATGTGCTGTGCAACCACAAAACTGTATGCAAGTCAACGACGCTCAACAGTCAATGGACAACTCGTGAATATTCTTCTATGTATTTTGGTATGTTCATCGGGACTAGTGTAAAATAAACTCATGCCTCTACCTCACCTAAATCACGATTTCAATGCGTGAAAAACAGATGGACAGTAATCAAATACCAAGAAAGGGTTGGCATCAAAATGATGTTGAAAGTTCATACATATCTCATAACGCATACAAATTCTTGACAATTGCACAGCAAGAGAGACGAAAAAACTTATGATTTTTATGCTCATGTTAGTTATTGAACTTATTCTATTGAGAAAGGTTAACATTGTTTAGAAAAAATTAACAAAGGCAGCTTACAGCTTTCATAATACACGCTACTGTTGGAATTACAGGTGACATACTCAATGAACGATGAACTTTTAGTTGTCGAAGTCAATATCAAACGCATTTATTCTTTTCAGTATAGATAAAAAATATTTATAGTTTGTTGCTAGGAGGAGTGCGATGAATATTTCAGTCAGTCATTACAGCATTCCTTTCTCCCAGAGATCCGCTGTGAATCAATGTCTTGTACGCAGATAAGAACATTGTGAGAAAACTGAAACGTAAGTTAATTTGCAATATCATTGTGAATCAATTGTGAAATGGACGTGCAATGTACGTATTTCGAACATTACCAAAGGAAAAAGGAACAACGATAATTGCTTTGACACTACATACGCTGTCAAATCTATTTTGTCCAAGTTGTGCTTTGATTGTGTTGTTGTGTAACACGTGTGTGATAATTTCAGGCTGGTTCCGTCCATTATTGGTTCCTCTTGATGTTGTACTAATCAATTTTGACATAGTTTGCAAAATTACACTGTTTTCTAATATTTCAAATATATTTGTCACTTAAAAACATCAGACTATCAAAGCGGAGAGAAGTGTGTTCTAATTGTCGCAGTGTTTAAAACGATCACAACTGTACTTAGGTTCTTTGGTCATGTCTGTTGTCTGTCTGAATTTTTGTGTAATGAATGCACATTCAAAACGAGTTATAAAGAATTAAAATATCCTAGGTGGTGCATACTTAAAGGAATATTATTTTCAAATCATAATGTAATATATCAACCAAATTTGCAAAATTATATTGTCCTTCATAATGTTTTTTTAATTATTTAATGCTTATTCTTAATTTTCATCATTCATTGTAACGTAGAAATTGTGTCAATTGATTCTGTAAGTAAAAAGTTTGTTAGTGCAATCTTTGTGTTTCTTTACTTCATATTTTTTCAAATGACCTTCTCTTGAGAGCCTAACCCAATGATGCCAAGGTGATGATGTCTAATGATGGCAGTGGCATAGTATCTCCATTGAGATATACCAACTCACCAGTGCAACGATCAGCTTGCTCCGTTTGCCTATGGCTGTCGAATCCTCGAGCAACATGTTCATCAAAGGACACATTATTATTTTACTTCTACAAAAAAGCAGCGTCTCCAAAATATTAAAAATGGTGATAAAATAATAACAAAAAAGAACAATAATTGATTTTTCTAATCCTAATCTTTTCGTATATCACGATTAAGTTCCAGAGCCACCTCTACTACTCTCTTTTGGCGAAGTTATAAATTACGTTGGAAGAAGATTCCATCGTACCATCAGTACCACCCATGTTAGTATCTAACTTGTGGTAATTACCTTGTCATCACTGGCCGAACATTTTCCATGTTATTCAGTGCACATAATTTTGATTTTCTATCCGGGCAAAGGTATTAGATTTGTTGAAAAAGGTTTTTTATTAGATAAGATGATGCTGAAAATACAGAGATGTATCGCAATAGTATACCAATAGTATGTTACCCATTTCCATGTTTTGGAGAATAATTAACTTTAGGTTTTTATATGCATTCTTTTCTGCACTTTGCGAATGTCTTGTAATAAATAAATAATAAAACCATTTATAAAGTTTTTTATTGTACCCAAACGGTGGATGAACCATTTTACAGCTTTGAAATATAAATGTTAACAAACAATACAACAAAGTACCACAAACAAAACAATTTACGTTTTAACCCTCTGTTCAAACATTGTACAATTTAAAAAAGCACGTAGTTGTAAAAATACGGAAGTACTTGCAAATAAACAGAAAATAACTCTTACTCCACTTCCACACTATGAATCCTATTTATACGTACCTTGCATGCCACATATTATGTGCGATGCTCTATGCGGCCAAATCTGGCTTTTCAACTGCTTGTACAACCATGAATGGACACTTGGCCAATGCGGTGTCTAGGCCAAGCGGCTCTTATTATTGGCTTTGGCTGCAAATTTCCGATACTTACCCATTCCTTCCCTCGAAGAGTTTCCTCCTCGCTATCAAAACGGGCCGGAGCAATTTCTGAGGTGTAAATGACGTCGATGACGCTGTCTTGCTACCAGGCAGAGAGAGGTAAGAGGAGAGGGCACCAAAGTGAGTGAGAATAGAAGTGATTGGTAAGGGCGAGTGCGAGAACCAACCGGCCAATTGCGTTAGCAAGGCATGCAAACGCTAACGAGCCACAATTTCTAATTCTTTACCGTGAAAATTAAGCCTAATTCATTGTATCTATTACTATGAGAAATTTTGCTTCATTATAAACTGATAGTAGGAAAAAAATATGATCCTTATAAAATTTTTAAAATGTTAATGGTTGCAAAGCAAGGGATACAAAATAGGGTAGTATAATCATTTGCGGGAATCACACAACAATATAATACATAATTTAATATATAAATATTTCATGTCAGGAATATTCAAATTCATGATTATCTTTTTAAAACAATTTTCATTTTGACGATACTACACCACTACTATCGATATGCAAGCAATGCACATTTTGTTGCACGTCATGGGATTGAAATCGCCCACTTTTTCTATATAAACAGGTTTCATCGGACACTGTTTTCGTTAGTTAATTAAAGATCACTAGCGGATATCTTAAATAAAGAATCATTGCAGTATCGTAATTGATAATTTTGTTTACACAATTTTTAGTAAATTCTATCGTTAAAATTCTATCGTTATAATACGTGGAAAAGAAATAGGGAATATCTCGTGTGAAATACTATTGCAAAAATAGAATTAATATTATTTGTCATATATTTTTCAAAAGTAGACAATTTTTTAGTATGCTAATGAAGAGATTGCCGCTATCCCTTCCCAGTGATAAAAATTCCGAATTGTAATATTTGATATTGTTAATAAATCAGGCAAAATATATAGAGAGCAATTTTTTATTTTTTTATTTGTGGAAATCTTCACGCAAGTTTACTATTATCTTAAATATTTTCATATAATCAGCTGATAAAAGAAGAATAAATTTGAAAATATTAAAATGTTACGAGTTGATGAAGTTTCCTTAAAACGGGCTATTAAGACAAACTAACAACCACGTTTTTCAATAATCTTTAAAGAATTTCGAACTTTGTTTTAAGAAATTACTATGAGAGTCTGATTTTCTAATTAAATTTTTTAAAGGAACACAGAGTCGTGAAATGTATTATCTTCCCAACTTATATTAACTTTCAGTATGACTCCCAGAAACAGTGACTGGAGTATTACGTTCGATTGGAGGAGCTCTCTTGCAATCCAAAGAAACGCCGGGAACTTTGACTAGAGCTATTAAAGTAAGACATCATTTTAGTGATAGGAAACACATCGTCCTTGTTTTCTAATGTTAAATGGTGAAATAATTTTAGCAAATTGTAAGGTAACACATGACGAATGCCTTCCGGACAGAAGACGAATCTCAGCATATGAATGCGCACCAAACCTCATAATACATTTGGTTTTTGATTCACACGCAAAACACCAGAGTGTCAATAAACTCACAAGTCAAAAATTCCCAAAATGCATCTCCTTTCTTTATTATTTACTCAAAATGCGATTTCATGTCTTCTTAGATGTTCTAAAAAATGTGTAATGTGCTCAAGAGTGTTGAGTCTTTTAACAATTACACAGAGCCTGTACTGGCAAAACTGTCTGAAAAGATGTAACGGATGTAGTGGTTGATATTTTTAATTTATTTATTTGCGTCAAAAACAGTTAAACTGTGTGACATGCTATGGGGATAAGTTACTTTGAAGTTACATTTATGTCCAGACACAAAGCAAGGGGCTTTCTCAGTATTTGCTCGACGATCAGGGAAACTGGACGAAAACTTGATCGAGATGGGGTCATTGGCCCAGAAGCTGAAGTACAATGCTTGTTACAAGGTCTTTACAATTATACAATCCAAATGATTTATAATACATTAAAAGTCATTTTTAAAATTAATATTACTTTCCTTTTGAATGTTCGGTATAGCCTCTAAATGTAGAGAAACAGTTGTGAAGCAGAAAACATTTTATTTGGGACTTACACTAGATTTCAGGTGAGATAATGATTATGTTTAGGATTTAAGGACACTTCAAAGACGAAGCCATTGGACCCCATGTCAATTGGTATTAAAAACATATATCCAATGTGTCAGTTGTCAGTTAAAATCATTTTTATTAATTACAAGATAAAATGAATATAAATATAGTAAAGTCTGACTAATAGTATAATAAAATAACTGACAAAGACAGTTAATGAATGAACAATGCAAAATAGGTTTATAAAAGGCAAGTTGACCCTCCTCTCTTAGACTAGATTAAAATATTTTCTTCAAGAAAGTTAAGGACTGCGGATAGAGGATTCATTGTTACCCAGCATCTCCTCCAGAGTGTCGACAAGGTAAGATCTTCTCCGAAAATCTCTCGAATTCACTGCACGAGAGCATGCTACACGGTAAGATTTGTTCTTGTTTTTTTTTTCTAAGTAGGAAGGTGGTGTCACTACGAGAGAT